GAGGGCCCCGCGAGGCCCCGGCCCCAAAGAGGCCCCCAAGAGCCTCCCTGGAGGCCCCCAGAGGCCCCCAAGATGCCCAAAAATAGCCCTGAGCGCGCCCCAAGACGCTTCCAGGAGAGCCCAACAGGCCTCCGAGAGGCCCCCAAGAGGCCCACTGGAGGCCCTCAGGAGGTCGTCCCCATCATGTTCCCGGAAGGCGGTCCGGGAACATGATTCCGCGCTTTGGAGGAGTATTCTGCGCCTTCCGAGGCGCCTTGGACGACGTACGTATGTTTCTATATATATATATATGTTGTCCTTCTCCTGTCTACACAATCCTACATGTTTTACGTATGTGTCTATACATATATATATATATATATATACATATATATAAATAAATATGCATATATATGTGTATATATATATATATGCATATGTATGTATATATGTATGTATATATATATAGAGAGAGAGAATGGGGAGGGGGTCCTGGACCAGGGGGGGGCCTCACTTTGCCCAGTGGCTGTGGTCACCCCCCCGCCGGAGACGCCAGGACGCTCCCAGGACCCTCTAAAATGGCTCCAGGACGCCCTCAGGACAGCCCAAGAGAGGTCCGAAGCGGCCCGGGAGCACTCCAAGACGGTTAAAAAGCTGCCAAAGCGTCCCAGCAGGTCTCCGACAGCACTCTCGGGAGGGGCCCAATAGGAAATTGTCACTGGTTTTTAGTTGGTTTTGAAGGGTTTGGGCGTTCTCCCCAGTTCGGCTTCCAGACGCTCCAAGGCGGCCCAAGAGGCCCGAAAGATCGCCTCAAGACGAGCCCAGAGGCCCCCAAGAGACCACCGAGACAGCCCAAGAGGGCCCCAAGATGGCCCAGGAAGCTTCCAAGACGGCCCAAAAGAGCTCCCAGAACACTCCAAGAGGAGCCCCAGATGGGGAACACGAACTGACATTTCGAGCCCTCGCCCACCAGAGACTCCCAAGAGGCCCCCAGGAGTCCGCAAGAGGCCTCGAGAGGCCCCCAGGAAGCTCCAAGAGGCCTCCAAAAGGCACCGAAAGGGCCCCGCAAGGCTTCCAGACGCTGGTGATAATGACAATGATGATTATGCAGGGCGGCCTCAGGCCCACAACCTAAATCCTCAATACTGCTCACGCGGCATGCAAGACGCTGCGGAGATATCCTCGAGTTCGGCGGGGGAGCTTCGGAGACGACGGTGACGAAACTGATGACGATGATGACGACGATTATGAAGTTGACGACGACGATGATGATGATGATGATGATGAGGAGGAGGAGGAGGAGGAAGAAGATTATGATGATGATGTTGACAGTGGGAATGATGATGATGATGATGATGCTGATGATGATGATGATGTTGATGATGGTGATCGTGATGTGATTGATGGTGATGATGATGATGATGGTGGTGATGCTGACGATCATGATGACGATGACGGTGATGCCGTTGAGGATAGTGATACTGACGATCATTATGATGATGTTGCTGGTGGTCAGGATGATAACGCCGATGCTGATAATAATGGTGGCGATGCTGTTTATGGTGCTTGTGATGCAGGAGTGGGCGGATGATGGAGATGATTACGATTTTGATGACGATAACGATGACGACGATCACGACGACGACGACGACGACGATAATGATGACGATGGCGATGATGATGATGATTATGTTGATAAGTCAGGTGACGATATTGACGATGATGACGACGATGGCAATGATGACGATGGTGATGGCGATGTTGCTGCTGATGGTGGTGATGGTGACGATTGTGATGATGGTGATGGTCATGGTGATGATGACGATGCCGCTGACGATGACGCCGGATATGATGGTGATGAGGATGGCGATGATGATGATGACGATTATCCTAGCTAGAACTTGAGCGCGCGCGAAGCGCGCGATGGCTTCTAGTGTGTGTATATATATCGATATGTCAATAATATACATATATTTATATATGTACATGTTTAGATGCGTGTGTATATATGTATGTGTCAATATATATATATATATATATATATGGACCGGTCAATTCAAGTATAAATGTATGTGTATATATATATACATATATATATATATGTACATATAACGGCGCACCGGGTCCGGGGGCCCGGGGCCGGGACCCCGACCACAAATGTGAGCCCCGGGGGGCCCGGAGGCTCGTCGGGGCTTGCCGGAGGCCCCCCCAGTCAGACAAGACGGCCCAAGAAGCGCCCAAGACGGCCCAAGAAACTTCCAAGAGGCCTCCAAGAGGGCTCCAAGATGCTGAAGATGGCCTCCAGACGTCCAAGGACGCCCCCAAGACGCCCCAAGAAGCCTCCAACAAGCGTCCCAAGAGGGCCCCTAGACGCAAACATTGGCCCATTCCCTTCGTAAAACGTACATTTTTCACAAAGTTGCTTTTTGGGCTTTCCGACGTTACAGGACGGCCCACGAGGCGCCCAAGACCGCCCCAAGACGGCCCAAGAAGCTTTCAAGAGGGCCCAAGGACAGCCCAAGAGGGCCCCAAGACGGCCCAAGAGGCGCCCAAGATGGCCCAAGAGGGCCCCAAGACGGACCCAAGAGGGGGCCCAGAGGGGGACCACGAACCGCACGCTCGAGCCTTCCGCCCCAAGAGGCCGCCAGGAGGCCCCAAGGAGGCCCCTCAAGAGGCCCCAGGAGACCCCCAAGAGGCCCAAAGGAGGCCCCGAGAAGCCCCAAATCGGCCCCCAAAATGCTTCGAACCTGCTTCCAGGAGGCCCCCGACAGGTTCAGAGGCTCCCGAGAAGCTACGTCAAACTCCCAGCGAGAATGATCCTAGCTAGAACCTAAGCGCGCGCGAAGCGCGCGCGTGGTTCTAGTATACATATATAGGTGGGTATATGTTTGTGTGTGTTTATCTCTGTATGTGTACAGATTATCTCATCTATATGTACCTATATACATAGATCCTTATCATATGACCCCAGTGGCCTTGTCAACAACGGCTGCTGATCCACTTCCACCAGACTTCTCGCGACGATTCGTGCCCAGTGCATGCTCTAGGGATTTTCGGGAATTAATCATTCATACACTGGCTGCGAGGAGCTAAATTCGAAGCTGTCGCTGGGCATTGTATGGAGGCTTGCCGAGTGGCAGGCGCTTTAGGGCACGATGCTGACAGTTTTACTCCGCTCCATCCCTTCAGATATTACGACTGCTCGTTTTAGTGCGTCGCTTCTCTCCGGCAGCATCTCTGCTGCTCTAGAGCTTGGTGGCAATATGTCCTAGGAGTGCTGCGCTCGGTGCCAGCACGTGATGTGCACAAGTCTTCCAGATCAGCGATGTGGGCAGTGCTGATCCGTACGGCTTGAGCTCTCGTCGCAGAAATTCGGCTGGAGATGGGCGGCAGCAACGAGTAGAGGCGAGGAAGAGGAACACGGAAGGCTGGCAGCCATTCTGGGACACTTTACTCGCAGAAGATGCGGGTGATGGTCTGGGAAAGTTGCTGCCTCCACCTGTGGAGAGGTCCAGTCTAGTCGAAGGCATTCCCCCGCCGCCACCCCTCCTCGCATCCAGGGCGAGCAGCACCCCACGAGGCGCTCAGGGGGCGGCTACCTCTCCCAGCTTCCCTCTTCACCTGCCCCTTCCGCCCGCCTTTTTGTGCCCTGACCTGCTTCCTCCGCGGGAAGCGGCTGCCCACCTCCCCCCCTCCTGACGAGGAGGAGGAGGAGGAGGAGGAGGAGGAGGAGGAGGAGGAGGAGGAGGAGGACGGAGGAGGGAGGAGGAGGAGGGAGGAGGGAGGAGGCCACCCGAGAGCACGACGCGGGCACCGAAAGCACGGCGCCGGGCCGACCGGCCGCTCGGCAGCTGCCCCTCCCTGGGCCGCCCCCCGGCTCCCGAGCTCCGACGTCGGGACGCTCTCGCAGCCTCGACCCCCAGAGGCCTGGGCCAGCTCCCCGGGGCCCGGTGTTTCCTCCCGGGCCGCCCGGTGGACAGGCCCAGGACCCCGCTGTCACTCTCCTCCTTCTCCTCCTCCTTTCATCCTCCTCTCTGCTCTCCTTACTATCTCCTATTCCTTCCTATTCCTCCTATTCTTACTCCTCATCTCTCTCCTCCCTCCTCTTCCTCCTCATCTCCTCTCCTCCCTCCTCCTCACTCTCCTCCTCCTCTCTCTCCTCCTCTTCCTCCTCCTCCTCTCCTCTCCTCTTCCCCCTATTCCTCCCATTCCTCCTCCTCTCCTCCTCCTCTCCTCCTCCTCCTCCTCCTCTCCTCCTCTCTCTCCTCCTCCTTCCTCCTCCCCCTGCTCCTATTCCTCCTATTCCTTCCTCCTCCTCTCCTCCTCCTCCTCCTCCTCCTCCTCCTCCCCCTCCTCCTTCTCCTCCTCCTCCTCCTCGTGGAGGGCGAGGCCCCCCCCGCCCCGAGTGTGAAAATGCCTCAAAGCATCCTTACAGTCGGGGCGCTGAAGAAGGAGCCCTTTTCGTTGACGAGGAGCTCGGTGTTCCTTAATTGTTTAACAGTCTGCCGCGGGTTATCCTGAGGTTTTCCATGGGAACTCGAAGGTTAACTTGTGGGAAAAGCCTCGTTCCTTAATTGGGTTCCTTAGGTCAACGCCCCGACTGTATCGCGTATCCTTAGTATGTGGTTTGACTGATTAAAGTCTCAGTCGTGCTGGGACTGGTCTGCGAGTGCGGCAGTGCCAGCTCGAGCCAAGCGGGGTGTGCGGCGGAGCGCCCTGCCGGCGAGTCTGGGTCAGCGCGGTTGCAGGAGGAGGAGGGGGAGGAGGAGGAGGAGGAGGAGGAGGAGGAGGAGGAGGAGGAGGAGGAGGAGGAGGAGGAGAAGAGGAGGAGGAGGAGGAGGAGAAGGAGGAGGGGGAGGAGGAGGAGGAGGAGAGAGGAGGAGGAGGAGGAGGAGGAGGAGGATCCCGTCGTGATTGTTCACCATCGAGGGGAGGTCGGGGGGGCCTCGTCCTCGTCCCGCTCCCACGGCCAGCGAGGGCACAGCTCTCCCGCGCCCCGGGGCACTGGCGCCCCCCGCCGCAGCCGCTCTGCCCCCACAGCCTCGGGGGCAACGATAGCCATCGGTCGTTGAAGGCACAGTCGAAGCTCACAGTCAGGACGCGCGGATGCCCTGAGGGTACCCTTTGCGCCCTTGCCTCTGCGGCCCGTCCTTCGCGGTGCTCACTGGCCCAGCCCTTCAGAGTCTCGGCAGTAGTCCGCCGCCCAAGAGGTGCTGGCTTCGGCGTCCAAGGCCCTGGCGTCCTTGCCGCCCGTCCGCATCATAGGTTTCGACTTGAGGTATTTCTGGAGTCCCAGGTTCTTGCTACTTCAAGGATCGAGTGGCTTCACCTTTTCCGCCCTCCTTAGGCGGCGGGCGGAGCCCAATCTACTTTCAATGTCTTCCCACTTCATGGTTCTACGTACTTTTTCCGACCGATGGGAAGGGGGGGGGCACAGGGGGGGACGCATCTACCCCCGATAGCCCACAGAGCGCCGATGGGGGCCCGAGAGCCCCAGCCTGCCCGATGGAAGGTGCGGACTCGCGGTCGGAGGCACGTCGCCGACCCATCCGCGATGCATACCGCGCCGATTCCAGGTCGATGCACCCCCCCTCGTGCTAGTCCCCCCCGCATCGCGGCCGCTCCCCAGGGTCCACAGGCAGCCTCCTCGCCCCGCGGCCCGCCCCGGCGCTCGCGCGGCGGGCGCCATGAGCGGCGGCGCCGAGGCGCGCGAGGCGGAGGGCTCCATCGCGTCGGGCTCCCGACGCCGCGCCTGCTGGGAGGCGCGGGACGCCTTCTTCGCCTGCGTGGACGCGGGCCGGGCCGACCACGCGGCGCGCTGCGAGCAGGAGCTCGGGGCCTTCGAGGCCCGGTGCCCCCCGTCGTGGGTGAAGCACTTCATGCTGCAGACAGGGAAGCGGACAGCGGCAGAAGCATCGAAACTCGGAGGTCCTCGCGGATGTCTCGGATCGGCGCTGGACCCCCCTCCCTGGCGCGCGGAGCGCGCCAGGGGCGGCGCCGGAGGCGCCGCCAGGGGGGGTCCAGCGCCGATCCGAGAAGTCCGCGAGGACCTCCGAATTTTCATGTTTGTTTACCCGTTTGAGACATAGCCCTATCGCTGTGTTTGGCATCACCTCACCTCGATGCCGATCTGAAGGATTCCGTCAGTTTCTGAGGGCACATCCCTGAGATCGTCCTCGCGTTTTGTTCGCCCATCGCAGGGATAGGGATAAGTCCGAGGCGGGTTATTCATGTCACTGGCCGTTTCCCTGGCAGAGGGGCCTGGTTGCGCCCACGGGCACGAAGCGGTAGCGGCGAGGCCGCGGGCCTGGTGCCGATGGGCGAAGGGCCGGGGCCGGGGGCAGCGTGCGCCGGAGGCAGCTCCCTGTGGCGGCGCGCGCAGGCGGGGGCGGCGCCGCGTGGCGGCCGGCCGGGGTCGGGCCGCTGTGCTGTCGGGGAGACGCACCCGGGCAGGATCGCGTCGTAGAAAGCTCAGGGCAGAGGTGTTTCGCTATGTTCGGCCCTTGGGGGCCCTCGCCGGGCCCCGGGACCGTCGAAAAACGACTCAGGATGAAGAACCGTCCCCGGGAAAAGGGTCTGGACTTCCGGGGACGCCGTAGTGAAAGAATCAGGACGTCGCATGTCTGGTTCAGACTCGAGTACGCCGGGACTCGGGTTAGCCAGCGTCCTGGATTTTGACGGTCCTGCTTTATCGGGGGTGGACAGACCTCCTACCCTGCCACGTCGATGAGTGAATTGTCCTTTTTCGTTTCTCGAGAGGGCGCCGCGGCCGTTATTTTCCAGGCTTGCGCCCGCCAGGTTTGGGCCCGAGGTCGTTTTCACTAAACCACGTTTTACTAAAGGGAGGTCTGTCCATTCCCGATTTAAAATTCGCGGGACATCTGCAGCGGAAGCTCGCGTCAAGTTTCAGACCGGGCCTCTCGCCATTTTCGTGATGGCCCCGTCAGGCCAACCCGAGTCCCCCGCACCCGAGTACAGTCGGGACCTAGACCTAAGGAACCCAAAATAGGGAACGAGGCCGATTTTTCCATGAGTTAACCGATCGAAAACATAAGGAAAACCTGAGGCAAGCTGCGAAACACTCAAGGAACGCAGAGCCCCTCCCCAACGAAGAGGGTTCCTTCTTCAGCGCCCCGACTGCATTGCGTCTCCCCGATGCTTGATAGCGGCGCCAATCCGTGCGCCTGCACCCGCCCCGTGGGAGCGCCAGATGCACCATGGCTGCGGGCCAGGGCGGCAGCGCGCTGCGTGGCTGCTGCCTGGCCGAGCGCGGCACCGAAAAGGATGCAGGAGGAGGAGGAGGAGGAGGAGGAGGAGGAGAAAGAGGAGGAGAAAGAGGAGGAGGAGGAAGAGGAGGAGGAGGAGGAGGAGGGGGAGGAGGAGGAGGAGGAGGAGGAGAGGAGGAGGATGAGGAGGAGGGGGGGGGGGAGGAGGAGGAGGAGGAGGGGGAGGACGAGGAAGAGGAGGAGGAGGAGGAATGTGCCTGGGCGCGGTCGTTGCTCCTCGGCCGAGCTCTCCACCGCTTCCGGGCAGCAGTCGATCGAAGTTGTGAGTTCCGAGCGAAAGCTCCCACGGGAAGCTCCACGAGCCGGCAGCGGGCACGGATGGGAGGGTCGGCGGGGTTCGCAGCCATGAATGAAGGGGCCCTGGGACACAGAAATAAATACACACAAACCTCAGGATTTCCCATAGTTTCGCATACATGTTCTGGGTTTCTGTCTTCCCCCACACTTCCCATATGTTCCCATGTTTTCTGGGGAATCGGCGATTCAGTGTGTCTGTGTGTTCTTTTCCCTCCTGGATGAAGAGAGCGTTCGATGAGCAGGGGGAGGGGGTGCCTTGCAGCCCTGGCTTGGATCACCGAGAGGCTGCGCAAGCGCAGCCGCTTCCCGTCCGCTCGCCACCGCATGCCCCCCTCTCCCTGAGATAAGGTGGTGTTCGTCGTTTGCTGTGTGTCGGGTGTGGACAGACCCCCCACCCTGACACGTCGATTCGTGAATTGTGCGTTTTCGGTTCTCGAGAGGGCGCCGCGGCCGTCATTTTCCAGGCTTGCGCCCACCAGGTTTGGGCCCGAGGTCGTTCTCACTCAACCAGGTTTTACTGAAGGGGGCTCTGTCCATCACCGAGTGTGTTGCGTCGCTTCTTTTCCTCAGGCAGATGTTCTTGGGGGCTTGCAGTTTACTGCGCACCATTCGGCTCCGAGTGCCACCAGGGACGCCTGACACTGGGGTGTCGGTGTGGAAGCTCTCCCCCTGGATGCACAGGTGGATTTGGGATCTTGGGTGCCCCGCGGTTGCCCTGGGCAACCTGGGAAACACGGCGGTGTGGTAATATGCCTTTAATCCATTTGGAAGCAAAGCCGCTCCGCTCCAAGATGCCCCAAAACAATACCATGGACGGGGGTGGGTCTGGGTTGCCCGTTTGTAGGGAAGGCTGCACGTTGGTCGTCCTTGCCGTGGTTATTGCTGTCAACTCTTCCCTTAAAGGTTCAGGCTCGGTGCCTTGGCCGCCGATCTGCTCGAACGTTCGCAATGGACGGTGGCCACTTCAAGTCATTCCGGGCGAGGGCCATTCCGAGCCACGCAGCTCGCAAGCGCCGGAGCCAGGAAGTGGCAGGAAGGAGGTGAAGGTGTGAGCGAGCGTGACGCTACCTGCTTTGGGCGCGTCGGCTCCCGAAAGCCTCCTCGAGGGGCCACATGGTGGTGCCTTCACGGCTGTGTCGATGCGATGCAGACGGCCCAAGATTGGCCACAGAGCTTGCTCGGTGGCGGGCGCTCTCTGGCCATACCGCTTGGGCCACGATGTACGACAAGCGTTAAGTCGGGCCTGTCTCCCTACAGGGGGATTTTCGACGAAAATAAACAAAACCCTAAAAATAATATTTAACAAAAAAAAAAAAAAAAAAAAAAAAAAAAAAAAAAAAAAAAAAAAACTCTGGGGATTTTTTTTTGAGTATGTTGTTGCCTTGGGGGTGTATTTTTAGTGTATTTTTTATTTTTCGTCGAAGATCCCCTGGTAGGGGGACACGCCCGACATAAGACAAGCGTTTGTACCACAGGTTCGTTTCGTTACGCGGTTGACCGTTGGCTGCGCAGCATCTGTTCCCGTGAGAAGCCCCGTGTGCAGCTCCGCGTTGGCGCAGCACGTTCGCCCGAGTCGTGGCAGTCGCCCGGATCTGGCCCCCGTGAGCTACAGAGAGAGAGAGAGAGGGAGGGAGGGAGGGAGGGAGGGAGAGGAAGACAGAGGGAGAGGGAGAGAGGGCGAGAGAGAGAGAAGAGAAAGAAAGAGTCAGAGACAGAGAGAGGATCTATATACATATATGTGTATATATATTTAGAGAGAGGGAGGGGGAGGGAGTGAGAGACGGCAGAGAGAGAGAGAGAGAGAGCAAACAGAAAAAGATCCCTTGCATCCACGACTCGCCCCCGTCCACACGCAAACAACAGGGACCCCCCTAGGCAAGCAAAGTGCATCCTTTGCTGCGCGGCCTCACAGGGGTGGCCGCGGCGACGGCAAAAAGGCAAGCGCGCTGGCCACTGCGGGGGGGGCTCCTCCTCCTCCTCCTCCTCCTCCTCCTCCTCCCTCATCCTCCTCACTACCTCCTCCAGGTTGGGGGGGGGGAGGGGGGGTGGGGGGGGGGGGTGGGGGAGGGGGGGGGGAGGGAACCTCCTCCTCCGCCTCCTACTCCGCCTCCGCCTCCTCCTCCTCCTCCTCCTCCAGTCGGCATTTTGGCTCACGCTTCGCCTCGCTGGGTCGGCCCCCGTCCCGCTGCGTCGCCGATGCCTCCGACGGCGGACGCCCGCGCTGCCGCGCCCCTGGAAGCTGCGCGCGGCGCGGTCCTGGCGGTGCACGCGGCCGCTGGGCTGGCCAGCAGCGCCGAGCTTCGCGAGGTCGCGAGGATCGTTCGTGCTGCTGAAGGACTTTTTCGGACGGCGGTGGCCTTGCTGGCCAGGCCCACACCTCCAGCGCCAGCCGCGGCGCCCTCGGCGAAGCCCGCAGCCGCTCCTCGGCGGCGGCGTCGGCCTCGCGGCCGCGGTGGCTCGGCGCGCATGGCTGTGGATGGCGAGCAGGCGGTCGTACCCGACGGAGTCGACGGAGGTGGCGGAGCGCAAGCGACTGGAGCATCGAGGGCTGCTGAGGTCGACTCGCCGATGCTGGAGGAGGATGACAGCTGGGCCGACGCGCTGGTGCGCGGCAGCCCGCCTTCCAGCACAGGGGGGCGCAAAGGCAAGGGCAAGAGCGCCACCCTGGCCACGGAGGTTCAGCCTGGCGGAGCAGCAGCGGCGGCGATCCTGGCCGCCGCCGAGGGCGACCGCGTCCGCCTCCCCGATGGGCAGGAGGGCACGCTCTACTGCGCTGGGCTGGGCGGCCCGATCGAGGCCGAGGACGGCCAAGTGCTCGTCCTCTTCACCAAGGGCCGCAAGGCGATGTGCCGCATGGTGGACCTCGACGGCCTGGTGCTGGCGCCTGGCGCCCCGCCACCGGGCCCCCGCGGAGGTCGCGGAGCCGTACGGGGAGCCGCGCGCGCTGCCGGCTCCGGAGCGGCGGGGGGAGGGCGATAATGCCCCGTGGAGGGGCCGTCCTCCCCCTCATCGTCTTCCTCTTCGCCGTCGCGGTCGCGTACGGCCTCCTCTTGCTGCACTTCTGATGCAGGCTGGGCGCGCGCCCGACCCGCGCTTCCGCGGCTAGTCTTCTTCTTCTTCTTCTTCTTCCTCCTCCTCCTCCTCCTCCTCCTCCTCCTCCTCCTCCTCCTCCTCCTCCTCCGGCCGGGGAAGCGTAAGACTCGAGTACGCCGGAATTCGAGGTTGCCGCCGCTTTCTTCGCGGCTCAAGAGACGGGGGTCAGTGCAAACGGGGGCCAACCAGAGCGCCCGATCTTGCAGGATCCTGCAGGGCCAGGGTCGCACTGACCCGGGCTTGGCTGCAGGATCCTGCAGGGTCCTGCAAAATCCTGCAGAACCTGGCTGACCTGGGTCTGGATTGACCTGAGTCAGAAAATCCCCTAGCAGAGGCCCTTCGGGCCGGGGAAACGTAAGGCTCGAGTACGCCGGAACTCGCGTGTGTCGCCGCGTTCTGACGAGCGCGTCCCGGATTTTGACGCCCCGGTTCTCGTCTGGTTCTCGGCGTCCTGTCTAAAGTGGCCGGGCCGAGTCTGCCCTCCTCCTCCTCCTCCTCTTCATCCCCCTCCTCGCCCCCGCATCCTCCCCCTTCCTCCAGGGTGCATCAACGATGTTGCAACAGACCCTCCCTCCAAGTTCCCTCTTCACAGGTTCCCACAAGTGCAAAGCCAAGACTCACCCACGAGGTTGGAACACACCCTCCCTCCAAGCTCCCTCTTCACTGGCCCCTATTATAAGAATTCAGCTCCACAGCTGGATGTCCCCCGTTGGAAGACAACCGTCTGAGAATCCTCAATCGTGCCAACACGCCAATCTTTGGACTTCAACGCCGCGAGTCAGATTTACTTTTGCGTCCCGACGATCCTGCATCGCGCAAGAAAAAACGTTCCTGGACTTCAACTCCGCATATCAACGTGACTGTTGCACCCTGACAATCCTAAGTCGCGCCAGATCACCATTTCTGGGACTTGAACCACTTCTGGGACGAAAATCAGCTAAATGGTTGGAAACTGTTAAAACGACTATGCGCGACGCTTGGTCCAGATCTCCATTTTGAAAAGGGCCCGCCCTCCATTCGGGAAACCCGTGTTTTTGAGGCGGGCGCGCGCGGCGCTAATGCGAGAGCCACATATTAAAAAGGACCCCCCTCCATCCGTGAAACTCTTGCAAGCATTTAAGACGAATGTGCGCGGCGCTACGGCGAGAATTACATGTTGAAAAGGACCCGCCTTCCATCCGTGAAACTCATGCATGGTTTGAAGACCTGCGCGCGCGGCGAAAAGGCGAGAGCCACATGTTGAAAGGGGCCCACCCTCCTCCCGCAAAACTGTTGCAAACATTTACGACGAGCGCGCGCGCGTCGCTAAGGCGAGAGCCACATTTTGAATTAGAACCCGCCCTCCATCTGTGACGCTGTTGCGAACTGTCAAGACGAATGCGCGCAGCGCTAGAGCGAGCGCCGCATTTCGAAAAGCCTCCCCCCTCCATCCGTGAAACGCTTGCAAGAATTCAAGACGAATGCGCGCGGCGTTAGAGCGAGGTCCTTCTGTTGCAAGGGAACAACACTCCATTCGCGAAGCTCTTGCAAGCGCTTAGACGAATAAGCGCGGCGCTAAGGCGAGAGCTACATGTTGAAAAGGGCCCGCTCTCAATCCGTGCTGCA